CAGGCTAGATAATTGAAACATGCCTTAGGTCAACCAATGTAAATCTGCAATGACTAAAGTCATACTGAGTCATACTGGTAGTTGTCAGTGGTATGTTTCATAAAACAAAGTTTCAGACAAAAAACTGTAGATTCTTAAAAACAGAGAGAAGACAAAGACATCATGGCAGACCTGTCATGGCCTGAGGAAGGGTCATTTTTTTAAATGGCTCTTTCAGAATCAATTTCAGCAGCAGATACCAGTGTGGGAGTCTTCTCACAAAAGCAAGGAAAATACTGTAATGGGAGAGAGTGTGCTAGTCTTTTATAGCAAAGCTGCCCATGGCAACTCAACTTGCTATTATGTTTCAATCCTTCAATAGAAAAAATGGAAAAGGGGTTGCACCTAAAAAGACCAAAGTTGTGAGAGGATAAAAATGGGTACAGAAACAACATACTCCCTGAGGACAAAAAAAATTTTTTTTTTTTTAGGACAAATTTTTTATCTACATCTATAATCCACTCGGTCCTCTTTTTATCCTATAACATTTTGTTTTTCTACCTAAAAGTCAAGAGGACTATGGTTTTGGGGGGCAAACCCCTCGGGAACATTTCTAAATGTTACATGATACTTATTACAAACCTTAGTATTTATTATTTTCAAAGTAAATAGTGTGAGTAGTCAGTGGCTATTATAAGAGTAATACTATTATTTACTGCTAATATTGGTAATATTATTTAATACTTAAACTCAGTGCCTGATGGAGCAGTAAGCTCTTTACTTTATACATTACGGCTTTTAATACTTAAAAATAACTTCATGAGGTAGGTACTGATAGTTTCAGTTGAAGAAACAGAAATCAAGAAGTTGTATAAATTGTTCAAGATAACACTAGCAAGTACAAAAGCTTAGCAGTTTAACTTCAGAGCTTACACTTCTATGAAAGTTTGATGATGATATGCAACTTCACAATGTACAAAATGTCCCAAAAGGTATTCCATATAAAGACTGATAGATTAGCCAAACCATTACGGGTCACTATGTCTAACATGACTTAGAATATATAGTGTTTCTTGACATTAAATTATATGAATCCCTTATGAATTTATGGATTTGCAAATTATATGAACATTTCTTTAACTGACAATAAAGAAAACACTATTTGCTGGTAAGGAAAATGTAATGTGCTAAGGTTAAAATTGAATCTAAAAATTTCTAGTTTGACTTTATTCGTTCAAAATTTTATTTTGCGCCTATTTTGTCCTAGTTATTAAGAAAGTCATGGTTATAGAGACATAAATTCCTGGTATCCTGGAACTTTCTTCCTACCAAGAAAATCAGAAAATACACAAAATAAAAATATAGAGTACAGTATAAAATAATAAGAGATAGGATAAAAAGGAAAGCAGCAATATATGAAAGGTCTGTCTTATGTCAGTAAAATCTACAAATATCCAGATTCCATTAATTAATTCTAGTTTTTCCCTGTGGAGGCAAACAGGAGAAAAAAGAATCTTTTTTTTTTCTTTTTTAAGAAAATAGCCTTTGAGTTACGTTAAATCTCCTACCTACCATATCCTAGCAGAAAATTTTCTTATTTAAAATAAACAGATTCTAATTACATTAAATGCACATGATATGAAATTATTTTGTCTATTTTCCTCTGGACTTAATCCATTCTATTAATGTCCCTCTGCAACCATGGCCGACCTAGAAGAGCCACTAGATGTGGTTGAATCAATGCAAAGTGAACCTTTTTCACCCTTTCTTTCTATATCCCAGAGTTCTTTATCCTATGGGTAACAAATCAGATTCTAATAAATTTGGGAATAAAGGTCAGTTCTGACACTTATTAGCTAAATGGTTTTGGACAGGTTTTTATTTTCATTCCATTAATTTTCTTTATTGCTATACTATTTTATAGTAATTTCAATCTCATGCTTTGTTGTTGAAGATAAATAGCTGAGTATGTGAAAGGCACTACCCCCAGGGTATACACATAGTTCACAGTACATAGTACACACTTACTGTGAGTGTCTTTTTTCCTCTCATATTGAGTTCAGACTTGAGCTAAACTTGCATGCTGTAGTCAAATAAAGTTTATCCTCCTTTCTCACTGTGTACCTGTGTTTATAGCTTCTAGGTTTTTTTTAAGACTTTAGAGTTAATCCTCAAGTATCATTTCGACAATCTTCATCTGGTCTCCCAATTTTTCCTAGTTTTTTTGAATTTCAATTTTGTAATTCAACATATTTGCTATTCGTTCAAGCATCCTAGCACCTGTAAGTCTGAAAAAACTATTTCTAATATTCTTAACCAAGTTAATCATGAAAATTTAGGATGCGACATAGTCAGGGATGGAGTCTTAAACCACCAGGAATCTGCCTTCCAATTAATACTAATCCATAACTCATGGTTACCTAAATATGATCTTTCAACCGATTATAATTTATAATGCTGCCTGGTTCTTTCATCTGTCATTATTTTTCCATCTTGCCAAAAGGGACATTAAAAGAGACCTTTGAAAATGACTTATTGAAATCTAGATATATTAACTCCACTTTTCTTTTAGAGTATATTTGAAGGAAATTCCGGTCATAAAGGTTGTAGTACCTCCTTGAGAAATAATCATGACATTCATAGCATCTACTAAGATGGAATTAGATGCTATTAGAATTTGAAGCAAGTCCTTATAAGTGTGAAGCTCAACATGACAGTTTTAATAGTTCCCAGAGGGTTTTTATTTTTTTCCCCTGCACAGAAGATAGCCACATGATTTTGTGAAGAGAGTCAGGGTGAAGTCATATAGGAGTCACCGAGTTTCTATGCAACAGTGGAAAATTATTTAAAGAAACCATTTTATAATTTTTAAATGTGAAAACACCATACTGTCCCTTGCCCATACCTCTGTTATGTATGAGGAGTATAGTAAGATCAATTAAATGACCACTTTTAATAAACCATAATTTCTATGTAAAAATATCAGATACTCATGGCCATAACATAGTATTGTGGAAATTATTTTTGTATATAAGCATTTTACTAAATACCTAGTTCAGAGTTTCTTTCTAAAATGTGAAACTTTCAAAATCATCAACATTATGTTATTCATTTGTATGCTAAAATTGTTATGTATGCAAATATATTAAAAATTGTTGACTCTAGAATAGTCAGTTTCCACTACTTTGATGGTACTTAAGGTATATGCTAACATATACTGTGAACCCCCAAATAAAGATGTAGAATGCCACATTACTCAATTGACCACAAAACCTAGTTTTCTCATATTACTTCTAATATTTCCCAATTTCATTTTTATGGTAGTTATTGAGATTAGATAATATTTTACCCACAAGATGTATTACAGGAACTGAGCTCTGATGATAGGGATAAGAGCTAAGTCTGTCACACACACATGCACACACAATACACACACAGTAAACTACAGGAGACAAGGAATCAGGAATTGAATTAAATATTTCTGTGTGAAATGAGCTTCATAAGAATAAGGAGTGCTCAAAGTTTGATGGCCATTGCTGGAGTATTATATACATAGGACTGCTTAAAAGGAACAAGACTTTGAGAGTAGTGCAGGATCTCAGCAATAAGAACTGACAGTCTTCAAGCAAGTGTGGTTCCTGCCAAAGCTAGCTGATATGCAGCATGCCGATTTAGATTGTACTTTCACCCTTCCTCAGGATGAGGAATTATATTAGCCTTCGGAAGATCTAGTCATGATGAAGTGTAGAGGGTAGAAGCAAGGAAAATGAGATGGCTGATAACTGGAGAAAGACCCAGGGATACTACTGTAACTAATAGTATTGGTAATATTATTGTGACTTCAGAAAATACTAAAACTGCATGTAAAATATTGTGAATATATAGTTGAGTCAGGGAATCCAAAGCTTTCTTCAAGTTTTCAATATAGCCAATGACCTAAAACAGCAAAAACTCTTCCAGATACATAAAACTCTCCTCTTTTTCTGACAGCAATATCAACAATTGCCCTCAGCAAAACAATTTGGAAGAAAATTGATCTCTTTTAGAGTTCTCTGGCAGAAGATGAGCAAACAATCTCTAAGCACCAGGCAGTACTAGTAGGAAATAGACAGTAACTCTTCCAATGACAACAAGAAAGATTTTTAAAATACTGGTTCACAAAAGAAGAACAACGTTGCACTTGTGAATTAGTAAAGAAAAATTTTATTTGGGGCGCCTGGGTGGCTCAGTAGTTAAGCAGCTGCCTTTGGTCAGGTCATGATCCCAGGAGCCCCGCATCAGGCTCCTTGCTCAGGGGGATGCCTGCTTCTCCCTCTCCCACTCCCCCTGCTTGTGTTCCCTCTCTTGCTGTGTCTCTCTCTGTCAAATAAGTAAATAAAATCTTTAAAAAATTTTTTTTTAATTTATACTACAGACTTTAAAAAATCTTTTAAAAATGTAAAAAAAGGCCCACTCTAAACAGAAAAATTTCTTTAAATTTAAATAAGTATTATATCATCTCCATGTTCTGGTAACTATCCTTGCATAATATTAGGTCATAATATTGAGATAGTATCCACAAGAGAGCTTTCCAATTCTATTTCCATCTTCCTTTCTCTCCATAAAGTATACCCTTTCTGCTCCTGTACACAGCTACCACAATATGGCTTAGTTTCCCATTTATCCTGGTCTAATACACTTATCAGCCAGGAACTGTAAAGTGAAGTAACTTTTGACAAATATTTCTGTTGGTTGTTCAATGAGGGGCACAGTGGGAGGTTTGATCAGGGAGTATAAAAATACACTTCATAATGTATCCCATTCTTTGCATACTTGCTTATTTTTCTTTTATGCAGAGCTGCTTTTACTGTTTTGTCTTTCATAATATCTCCTACACAAAATAAAGAAGTAAATAAAATATTCAGGTACATGAAGGAAGAAGAAAAATATCAGAATTTTCCATTTCTAGATATTTCTAGCTATCACCGCTTAATCTCTATCACATCTTTTATTTTTAAGATTTATTTACTTATTTTAGAGAGTGGGGGTTGGGGAGGTGCAAAGGGAGAGAGAGGGAGACTCTTAAGCCAACTCTGTACAGAGCCCAATGTGGGGCTCAATCTCGTGACCCTGAGAACAGGACCCTGAGATCATGACCTGAGCCAGAACCAAGCAACCAATACCTAACCGACTGTATCACCTAGGTGCCACTCTATTACATCTTCTTTATTCCTGAAGTTAAAATATTGTTTAGAAGAGTGAGAAAAACCGTATTTCTGAGTATTTAAAATTATAAATGCCTTATATTAATAGAACTGAAATATTAAGTATACATAAGTAGATAAATTACTATCAACTATTGAAACCCACAGCCCCAGTGTACTTTGAAATTGTATATTCCACCAAAAATGTCTGATTCATTAGGCTTTATTAAGAATATTACATATACATTGAGAGATAAAGGAAACACAGATAGGTATCTTCCATTTTACCTTATCATCAGTACCAAAATGACTGACATATAGTGTGAATAATTTTTATATCAAATTTGTAAATATGATACAAATATCTAAATATCTCAATTAAACTTTCTAGTCCTCCAAAGCACTGTTTTTTCTTCCCTAATACCTAGAAAGTTAGTCATAATATTTTATATAAATTCAAAATTACTCAATAAACAGTATATTTCTTTAAAGAGCATTTTTTAAAACATATTTTCTTGTGAGCAACATTTAAAACATACCTTATTCAGCATGATGAAACAAGACAGATTTCATTATCAATTAGTGCTACAGAAAAATTTTAGTATCTAATAGGAGCTTAATTTAAGAAGACATATCTTTTTCTTTGTAATACTTTCTTTATGCTATATCTGATTTTTCTTCTCAAAGATTGTTTTTGCTGCCAGCAATGTTAAGTACAGAGCTACCTACTAAAATTAATTCCCATTTATATCTTTGTCATTATTTTGCCACTACTGAAATGGATAGTTTAATTTTTAATTGTCACACATTTGAACTTTAAAATTAATACTGCAGTTCTGGTTTTCCGTTAAGGAATATATTATAGGATACATAGAACATGTCACTTTGATGATCACATTAGCAATGCCCTCAGTATCAATAAACTGAGTATGAATATAGAATAAGCATCTCCAATAAAATTGAGCTTGCAGATCATAAGAGAATCATGATAAAGTAGCAAAATGATAGATGTGCTTTCTAGTTAGGTTGAAACAGTTAAAACAACAACAACAACAAAAACAGCAAAAAGATATAGACATTACCATTTTGAAAACAATTTGATCTTACTGCAGAGTCTTACCTGGAAGGTATCATTGAAGAGAATATCATAAAAAAATTACTACCACATAAAAATGAACTTTTAATTGTCAGACCACAAAACAAACTCTTCATTATGTGTTGTGGAGGGGGCGGGGAGAGGATGACATTTCACAAAGGGCATATTTTATCTACTGAAGTACTGGAGGATTTATATCAAAGATAAATTACCTATTTATATAGAATGCAACACAAATTAATTGTTTTATTTTCTTTGTTTAACTATTTAGGGTCCAGTGCATGCCACCTCAAAATATGCCACAATGATATATTATTTTGAATTAAAGTTACTTAAGAAATGATCAGTGCAGGAAGAACACTCTGACCATCCTTTGTCCAGAAAGCAGGAAATAAATCTCCCTGAAAGGTGAAAGGTACCCTCCCTGTACCAGGAGGTAAAAAGACATACTTATTACCAGAGATAGAGAATTCAGAGCCAAGAATTCTGTGTAAACAAATCTGGTTACTTTTACTAATTTACTACACCAGCCCAATTCCTGTTTAGAATTCTTTACTATTTGAAGCTTCCAAACATAAGTTTTCTTTGTCTTGCCAATTCCTCACAGATTTATGTTTCTTTGTTTAAAATGTATAAAAGCTGCATATCTTGGTCATTTGCTGAGGGGTCTCAATTTTATTGTGTGGCTTCAGAGACCATGTAATTAAACTTTGTTTTTTCTCCTGTTAATCTGCCTCATGTCAATTTAATTCTTGATCAGCCAAAGGTAGAGAAAGGTAGAGGAAAAATTTTCCTCCCCAAAACTCAATATAAAGACTTTCACAATTGAAAACGAATATGCAAAAACTAGGACTATATTTACACAAACATTTGTGTATTCTAATTTGTTTTTAAAACAAATTTATAGAAACCTAATCATTTAAGATTTAAGATAAATACTGCCAAACGCCTAAACTTTACATGTACTAGTAAGTGATGTTAACGTCACTTTTTTTAAACACAGATGAAAAAACTGCAGCAAAGAGCTGTAGTTTGCAAATCCCATTACCGCTTTAAGGACTGCATATCTTGACTTCAGATTTTATTATAGTATCAACACAACTACAACAAACTAAAGATAACTTTAGAGAAAAAGTGATTTTATTTCCTTATCTCAGATTGTATAAGAATGTCTCTGTTCTTTATAATTCCAAGTCCATATTCTTGCTGCCACAAATAAAATATCTAATGTAAAATTTGACTAAGCATTCAAATATTTTAAATATTCAACAAATAGCAAACAAATATTAACAATGTGTAGAAACTACCCAAATATCTATTTACTCATATAGTTATTTCTTCAAATGGTCAAAAATTTTAATTATAACCAAAGAGATACATGATATCAAGGAGCCTCAATATATTTATTACAAATGTTTATGGAAATATTTTTAACATTAGATGTTCTAAAATATGACGTTTGAGCTGGCTTATTTTTTCGACAGATATGTTTTCATATTTTAGAGGACAAATTATATATAAATCGCCTAACATTTCCCAAGATGTAAGGAAACATCATTAAACTGAGAAGTCCATGGTGCATGATGATGATCCAGGCTTCTTTCACAGCCCCCACTCCACAAACACTACCCTTTGGACTGCTCCCAAGGCCATTCCTAGAATGCCTAAAAAGCATCATGGGTCTCTACAGTCAATTGAAATCTCAAGAGTTTTTCACTAGTTAGCAAATGAGAAAAAAATACCTAAACATTTACTAGCTTGAAACATCTTCTTAACTCTATACGCTAGCCCAAATATCCGTATAGCTCCCCATTATTTGTATGCCTCCAAATAACTCCTCTCAATGTTAATATATGTAACATCAGCTACATTAATAGGATAGAAGTTCAGGATCACTGGTTAACAGAATGTACAACTGTGTATTGAAAGCTCTCCTCCATATAAATCTCTCAAAAACCCCTCTCTACACCTGAAGGAATAATGAGCCTGCTTTGTCTGAGGTTCTCTGTACACAAAGGGTAAAAAAATGACAAAAATTCACAAAAATTGTAACAGAGTTACAATCTAGTTGAGACTCTAGAGATACTTCATACAAACACCTTCATTCCAAATACAGCATCTTTCTTCATCCCTTTTATTTTAATGCTTGGCATACTACTTTGATTAAAAAAAGAGTTCATCAATTAAAGAACTTAAAGACCATGTACTAAGATATCATTAAGATAGAATAATATATTACATTTGGGAGAAAAGAATGGAAAACAAATTTTGGTTACGTTTTAACAGCTACAAGGAACAATGTGTATGTAGGATTAAAGTATAATTAAATATCTGTAAAATACCCCTGATTTAAGAAGATACATTATTCGGAAAGAAACTCATAGGTGACAGGTGAATTTTATAAATCCATTTTATAATGAGGCTTCAAATAACTCAGGTAATAAATCAAGCATCATTAGAAGGTGGTAGGGGTGAGGGGAAGAAGGAGAGGGGAAGTAAAAAAGAACAGGAAGAAAAAGTAACAGAAACAGTAAACACTACGTCTCAGATCAGTACAACTACAAGGGTCAGAAAATATCTTACATTCAGAACAGTGGAAGAATTAATCACTCTATCTTTTGAACATTTTAAGGGGGCTTTCTTATATTTACCTTGGGATGAATCTCAAAGCCCTCCAGCAATAACTGGAAGACAAAAAATTAAACTGGGATGATTTCTTTGTTAGGAATAAGGCAGAATTGGGCTCACAGGTATATTTTAACAACTTTTAACTTTTTTATTAGCAGCTTTGATATAATGCTTGACAATTCAGCTTAGATTTGTTTTTTTTTTAAAAAGTATAACACTAAAAAACTCAGAATTTCAATATATACCATTTTCAAAAGTCTCAATTTATTAGAAAGGATTTGCTCTATTACTAACAGTGTTCATATTTATCTCCTATGGTAACTAAAACACATGATAAAATAAAGGAACTAACTTTCTAGAAGAATGTAACAGTGCTTTTACATAGGTGTATGAAAAATATAATATTAATATGGATATATATATGCATACTTACAAACTCATATTGAAAAAATAAAAACAATTACAAAATAAGGGTCATGCCTTTTTAAATTTGAAAGTTATTTTAGAGACATATTTCAATTCTTCGCAAATACATGTCATTGATAAGTCATACAGAATTTTCTTTCTCAATAATTATTTTTAATTTTCTATATCATATATCCATGATGACATAAACTTTAAGTGAATATTAACTGACTTTATACCACACCTAAATTTTTCAACTATTCTTTTTATTTAAAATCACAAACATGATGTTTAAGAGACTGAAAAAGGCTAAAAAGGACAATGATCATGTTTATTAATGGTTACACCTAACATATTTCAAAAGCCCACTGTAGTCCTGGTTCAAAACTTTCCTTCCTCCTCCCCTGCCGGACTCGGTATTGCCTTGCAGCTATCCAACCGCCACACTCTCACTCCCTTTTCTGTGGGTGTTAAAGCTGTTGCTGTGGATACAGCTATCTCTACATTTTTTTTCAGCTCCTCTTTTAAAATATATTTTTTTTCTTCGACCTCAGGATAACATGTAATGTCATATACTCAATATAATCACTTAATAGAAAAAAAATACACAAAAATTCTACATCCCTGAAATCACTTCAATCATACGTTAGCTATAAATATATTCAAACCCTAAATGTAGAGACACCTACCTACTACATTTTAATACTAATGGAATGCTCACTGATATACAGAAATTACAGAGACCCAAAAACCCATTTAAAAATTTTTTTATTTCAACTTACAAGGAAAAAAATAGAAAAAAAAAGTAATAAATTTCCAGTCCATAGACACCCTGATCTTCATTGTCTTTATCATCCCAATGGTAGTCTTAGAAAGAAAATTAAGGGGAATACTAAATAGCCTCTGCCAAAATTAAAACCACGGGTTAGATTTTAGAATGCATGCATAAGAGCCAATAAATCTTTACACAAAGTGACAAATGAGCCGAGTTCAATTCAGATTTCAGAATCAATTCACCAATATTCCAAGTCAAATTTTTTACACATTGAAATTAAGCTCCACAACACTTCCTTATGGTGATGGCTAATTCCCTTTAAAGAATGCATTGTAATAAAGAAACTTCAGCATTGTGGTGAAAATGTGTGTTGCCCAAATGAATTCACTAAAGTGGACACAGAAGTGAATCAGTGATAATAGCATGGTAAGATGCCAGCACCTTCTGGATTACTGGCATTGCAGAAAAGAAGAAAAAAATAATCCCACCTTTTTTATATGACTGTAGAGTTCACATAGCAGTATTAGTCAGGTGTCAATCTATCTTCCAGGGAGCAATAAAAAAATTTGTCATCATTCAGTGATAATACTGCACAACTACTAGAGAAGCCATTCATGCATGGGGGAGCCCACCTGTCTCCACTATAAAATACATACTAGAAGTAATAGAGATAATGTAGAATATAGGTTGAAAGTATAGATTCTGAAATCAGACGGCTAGGTTCAGATCTTAGCTCAAATACTCAGTCACTGTGCGACCTTGGATGAATCTATTAACTTACTTGTGCCTCAGTTTTGAATGTCGGGATAATAATAGTTACCAATCTCAGGTTTTGTGAAGATTATATTATATTATATTGTATTGTATTAGGCCCTTAAAATAGTGCCTGGAACATAGTAAGTCTCAAGAGTCTTATACTATATAAATCTCTAGAAAAATTAATAGGTTAATAGTAGAGGGGGCGAGAAAAGGATTTCTAGTTATAAAGTAATACGTACCTAAGAAATCTTATTTTTGATGTCTTGAAAAACATATCATTTAGTGATTATTATAGGTTTGTGGATGAAGTGTAATGTTCTATCTGTCATTTTAGTTATATAATTGAATTAGTCCAAATGCTAACTGAAAAAGCTAATTTTTAGGTAAAAAAAAATACCACCCTGGAGAGTGAATTTTTATGAGCCAGAAATAACTATACCACATGATTCCATGTTTTGAATCACTTCACATATTTTACATGATGAAAAGCCAAATTAAAACAAAAAACTTTATACCCATAACTAATTTGTATTAATAATATACAAATATATTTTTCCCAGAATACTTAAGGCTGCTGACAATATACATGCAACTAAATAAAAAAAATATTCTTAAAATGGTGGAAAATGGGAATATGGAGCCAGATCAAATATTCAGAGGTGGAGATGGAGGAGAAATTTTTCTTGTGAATACCTGATATTATTTAACCTTCACTAAAGCTCTATGGTACAACTTCCACAGATTCCACAGAAGAAAATGAGGTTCAAAAAGACTCAAGAAGTCATCCTTTTACAGAGATAGTGAACAATTCCTTCAAGAAATAAATATGCTAAAAGAATGAGGGAATTTTCTTTATTTAGAATAGAAATGTTATGTTTGGAATAGATAAGATCTTTCTACTAAACTGTTTAATCTTACAAAGTTGTCATTATATTAAAAAAAAAAAAAAAGGCAACATGTCCTTACAAGTACCCTCTATGTATGTACCAAAGGGCTAAATGATACAAAAAAAAAGTAAAAATGTATTCCAAATATCAGTGGTAATAGCCCTGCTTTACTGATACTAATCAATCAAGGGCAGATTATATCATATTAAAGATCAATACTTTCAAATATATATATTGTAGACTAACAGTTTTTCACGTAATTAAATCATTTTTAATCTGTTTGACAAGTTTGCTTAACACAAATGATATTTTCTTCTCCCCAAAGCACTAAGTCTAGGGTTATTATTTGTGCATCCTGGCACCACAGCAACTGTGCCTCAGGGATGGCCTAAAAGACAATTTAAGACCTGAATGTAATTAAAGACACCAAATAAATAAAAATTATATTAGATGCCTGTAAGGCTATTAAAATAAGCTCTACAGGGAAAAAAAAAAAAAAGCTCTAGGGATATTTCCAACGTTTTCCTGCGGGGATGATCAGTTTTTAACAGTGCAAGGATAGAAAATAACATCACGAGAGGCCTCATGAATTCACAACACTTGAGTAACTCCAGTGTATCTCTGCTGGGTCCTCTTTAGTCTTCCATTGCTGTCAGAGCCAGTAATGACCATATTATACATGATCATAGTTTTTATTCCTGTAAAATAATAGGTTATAGACTATGCAGCCCAGCCCCACCATTAATGATAAGATTTAATCACTGAAATTTAATTTGTATACAGTAGATGCTTAATTTTTTAATTACCTTTTTGGTTAATAGCAATATTTAACATCAATGGATAAAAGGTCAAAATACATAAGCTTTTTGTTATTATGATTAGTCTCTTGGGGAACTGTACTCTTTCTCCTCATCTCCATCTATTTTCCAGAAAATTTTAACAAATTTCAACTCATGTGAATAAAAGCATCCAAACAGCTATCAGCAACATGTTGGATTCCTTATACACTTAACTGAAAACCAAGAGAGATGAAAAGAATTGTGAATTTAATGAAAACTATCAGATAAAAAAATATTGTTTTAGTGTATGATAATGACATCAATAATTACATTAATAATCATATAAAACATGTTTAACTATTTTATTTGAAAATTAAATGTAGTTAGTATTTTGTATGTCTTATTTTCCTGGTGGCAAAACTTATTTTTTAAAAAGTCAAGCAGAGTCAATTATCATATGGTTTCACTTACTTGTGGAGCATAAGGAATAACATGGAGCACATTGGGAGAAGGAAAGGAAAAGTGAATTGGGGTAAATCGGAGGGGGAGATGAAGCGTGAGAGACTGTGGACTCTGAGAAACAAACTGAGGGTTTTGGAGGGGAAGGGAGTGGAGGGTTAGGTGAGCCTGGTGGTGGGTATTAAGGAGGGCACGTACCAACAATGAATCTTGGGACACTGAAAAGAATAAAATTAAATTAAGATGTTAAAAAAAATGGTGGCACACTTTCTTTAAAAAGCAGAATATAATTTTAACCTAAATATAAATAGGTTCCACAATAATTTCCCCTGGGAAAATATTTATAATTAATTCTTGAATTATAAGTAAATGAAGACATAAAAGAGACATTATTTTTTTTTAATTTTAGATAAATGACAAAATTTTAGCAAATGAAGACATAAAAAAACATACTTGGTTTGTGGACATAATATATTTTATAACTAAGGTTACTAGACATGAGGTAAAAAATAGGCAGCATTATCATAAAGCAAATAAAATGCTTTGATTCATGTTTATGATATTAATTTGGTGTAAGTCACTCTTTCCCCAACATCTTCATGATAAATTAAAATGATCTGGTAATTATCCAACTTGATAAAAATAACAAGTATTTTTATATTTTGAAAAAAATTAATTTTCCTCAAATCTAAAAAGAATAAAAGATTCTGATTCCTTACATATGCCAAAGTACATAGGTGAACTGTGTGTGTAGATGTGTATGTAGAACAGAAACAGTTTACTTTATTGTAAAGACAGATTCCAAGCATATTTTTGAGTCAATGAATTCAGTAAATATGAATAGTTGATGATTTTAAAATAATTTGAACATTCCACAAAGTTTGAAAAATAGAAGCTAATTGATTATTTAATTTTACTAAGTCAGGGAGATACCAGTGATAAACTATCACAGAAAAAAATTACTCAAATGTGATACCATCATCAAACCAACATTTTTTTCATATGTATACAAACATGTGAAGTCAGTCCTTTACATTGCAACCACCAATGGTTGTGCAACCAATGCACAAATATTAAAATGAATATCTAAGACTAGTTTGAGTCAATGTTGAGTAGTTTAATCTCTAATCTTTTGACAGCATTCAATTTGATCTACAAGACTGAGGTGATCATTTAAAATCTTTATTTTTCGGTTTTCATTAGCCAACAAGTTATCTTGGCAAGTCATTCAATTTCTCTAGGTCTCCTTTTTTTCTAATATCTAAGAAAACCTTTTTAAATAATTTCTAAAATCTTTTCCAATTCTAAAATTATGTGATTTAGTATATTAAAAAGCAGTAATTGGGACGCCTGGGTGGCTCAGTTGGTTAAGCAGCTGCCTTCGGCTCAGGTCATGATCCCAGCGTCCTGGGATAGAGTCCCACATCGGGCTCCTTGCTCTGCAGGGAGCCTGCTTCTCCCTCTGCCTCTGCCTGCCATTCTGTCTGCCTGTGCTCGCTCTCTCTCTCTCTCTCTCATAAATAAATAAAATCTTAAAAAAAAAAAAAAGCAGTAATTATTGGTGCACTTCAGATATTTAAACAAAAGGACCAATGACCTCAAAAGTATACTACAAAATTCTACTAACCACATCTGTTGAAAGGTTGGGTAGAAATTAAAATGATTATTCATAATACAAAATAATTCTTTTCCTGAGAACATCATTTTAATTTGTCTTCCATAAAATGGTATTTGCTTTAATCCCTTTAAAATATCATTTTATTTATAACATTTTAATATGCATATGGCTTTTTAGGATTGTAAGCCAAAATCATTTTCTTTTATACTTGGGGAAATACAGACCTAAAAAGGTTAATCATGGAGCCTAAGATCATTAAATAGCAGAGCTAGAAGTTTTGGGATTCTTTACATTAGCAACCCACCTGGAATTTATACTTCTAATAAGGAGCTATTTTATAATGATTACTGGACTGAGCCTTTTTTTTTTTTTCTCTTTTGCATGCTGAACATTTAAATACATATGAATTTAGTTAAATGAGAAATTCTGTGGTGGTGATTGTGGTAAATAGAAGTTAACTTTGTTAAATCAGAGTGAGTCTACTGGTTTTGGTTCTTTTTAATTAGTTTCTTTGCCACTACAAAAAAGTCACTAACAGCAATTCCAGTAGAGGAATATAGAAGTTCATGTTTTCTCTTGATAATTTTCACTTATAAAAATACAGTACAGCTATAATTATAAAATATTGCATTTAAGTTTTTTTAAAACATTTTAAAGTGAGCACTTTAATAAGAGAAAATAAAAATCAAACACTAGAATTCATTTCAAAAGGTTATCTTCAATCAACAGAATATACTGAGAAAATTAAAATATAAGACCACTTAAAAAAAATCCAGTTGAATCAAAATATCCTTTTAAAACATTTATATTCCTTTGAATTATCTTGTGTGAAGAATTATTAAGTTGAAATGTTAAATGATCTCTAGGATGTGTCATATAAGTGCAAAGGAAATGAACTTTAAGCTGGGTCCAAACAGGAAATAACTCTACCAAGGGATTAAAAACGCCTCTTTTATACATCAGTTGTGCCAAAGAAAACTCAAGACTCCAAGGAGAACACTGACTGACAGTGAGGGTATCAGCAGATGCAGAAGAGAGCTGCCACCTCAGTGCAATTTTCTTGTTGGCATTTTTCTCAAGAGAAGCAGGCTGGTAACTTTTAGAAGCATTTCCTAGTAAGGACTGGGGCCCTCTATAGAAATCAGCTGACAGAGACTTCCACTAAAACACTATCCTTCCAGCAAATGCACGAGTTGACTTTTACTATTAAAAAGTAGCAACAGGGGATGCCTGGGTGGCTCAGTTGGTTAAGCGGCTGCCTTCGGCTCAGGTCATGATCCCAGCGTCCTGGGATCGAGTCCCACATCAGGCTCCTTGTTCGGCAGGGAGCCTGCTTCTCCCTCTGCCTCTGCTGCCACTCTGTCTGCCTGTGCTCTCGCTCTCTCTCTATCTCTGACAAATAAATAAAATCTTAAAAAATATATATATATTTAAAAAAAAAAGTAGCATCAGGGTGCCTCATTAGGGGACAAAAAAAGGAACAGGCCAAGTTCAGCATGTAACACATAGAGGTGAGTGTCCATAAATGAAAACTACCCCCTTAACCATATATTTAAGGTTATTACAAGTTCTTCAGAAAAAGGAGAAATCTTATAAAGACTCAATGAATCTACCTTTTATCATCTTATAACATACTATTATTCTTGCTACCCAGTTTAGGTTCAACAGATTTTTTTCTTTTTTTTTTTTTAATATCTTATTTATTTTTTATTTTTTTGACAGAGAGATTGTGGGCACATAAGCAGGGAGAGTGGCTGTCAGAGGCAGAGGGAGAAGGAGACTCCCCACTGAGCGGGATGCGGGGCTCAATCCCAGGACCCTGAGATCATGACCTAAGCCAAAGGCAGAAGGTTAACCAACTGAGCCACGCAGACATCCCTCAAAGGATTTTTTCAATTAACCTTTAACCTTTGTAAAATTCAGAAATATAAAAACCTGCTATGTGGTATTAAGTATTGTTCCCCAAACTATATAGTTTCTACCTTTCCATTAGTGGGAAGTTTCAAAATATTAGTATATTAGCGGGAAGTGTCTGAATTCCATAATCTGTTTGTTTGCTACACATATATATTAGTAACGAAATACAGAATTCAGACACTAGCAATATTTGTCTGGTTTTACTCATTATGTATCTAAGAAATATCTAAGAACCATAAATAAAGTTGACTCCTAAACAACACAGGTTTGAACTGTGTGGGTCCACCTACATGTGGAGATTTTCAGTAAAGTACAATACTGTAAATGTACTGGCTCTTCCTTATGATGTTCTTAATAGCATTTTCTTTTCTCTAGCTTACTTTATGTAAGGATGTAGTTTAAAATACCCAAAGCATACAAAACATGTGTCGATTGGCTCTATGTTGTCGATAAGGATTCTGGTCAACAGTAAACTATTAGCAGTTAAGCTTTAGGGGAGTCAAGGTTATATGTGGATTTTCAACTGTAAGCACCCCTAAACCTCATGTTATTTAAGGTCAACTGTGTATATTTCTACTTGCACCTATTTCCCCCAAAACTCCACATTCATGAAATAAGATTCTAATAATACTTTTTTAATTGAGTAACAACTGGCATACAACCCTGTATTCATTTTATGTGCACAACATGATGATTTGATATACATATATATTACAAAATGATTACCACAATGAGTTTAGTTAAGCATCACCACTCTTAGCTACAACTTTATTTTTCTTGTGATGAAAACCTTTAAGATTG